TTGCTCTCTCCCCCCCGCCGATCGAAGCAATCCTCCCTCTCTTGCTTTTCTTTTCGTTTCTTTTCTTTTCTTTTCTTTTCTTTTTATTTCTGCGGTTGTCTCATATTTCTTCTCTCGCCTTTTCTCTCCTTCTCGGAGCTTTCGTTCCATTCGCTCCTTTCGCTTTTTCTGCTCCTTCTAGAATGCCACGTGGGACGCTCATTCTCTCTCCATCGAGTCCCACGTGGGACGTTCATTCTCTCTCCCTCTAGAGTCCCACGTGGGACGTTCATTCTCTCTCCCTCTAGAGTCCCACGTGGGACGTTCATTCTCTCCATCGAGTGCCACGTGGGACGTTCATTCTCTCCCTCTGGAGTCCAACGTTCATTCTCTCTCCCTCTGGAGTCCCATGTGGGACGTTCATTCTCTCTGCATCGAGTTCCATGTGGGATACGGGACGGTTCCCTCTCTCTCGCACTTTGATCCCTCTCTTTGCCAGGTGTCATGGAATTGCTTGCGCCTTGCTAAAGATCTTCTACCGGTAGTTTTCCTCCGAGCATAACGCACCTTGATCGTGAATGCGTACTGGTCTCAGCAGCTATTTTCAGGTTCAGGTCAGTTATGATGAGGGTGCTTGCGATGGGTGCTGGGGAATCCCACAGTCGTTGGTGGTACCGTCTTCCCGCTAGCGTAACGCACCCTGGAAATGAACCTATACAAGGTATGTTTCCAGCCCGATACATTGAAAATGAGGGTGGAATGTGTTCGGGGGGAAGACGGTAGTCTGGGGCTGGAGTTGTGAGGACTGGAATTTATCTGCGGACGGATGATGAGGGTGCCTGCGTTCTGCTCGGGGGAAGTCGGTACTCGCGGCTGTTCTTGTTTTTCTTGTTTTTAAATGCCTGTCTGCATGAGCTAGTGGATGTTCTCTTACGATGCTGCGATGGACATTATCGCTGTATGTAGACAGAAAGTTGCCCCAAATACAGGCGTAATCGTTGTATGTAGACATGATCTGTATTACCTATTAGGTTCTCGTTTAAAATGGAGAATGACTCTGAAGGGCCAGGTGTGGCGGTTGTGTTCTACTACCCGCTTTCCCTCGAATAGGACTGTACGGTCATTATCGCTGCATGTAGACAGAAAATTGCCCCCAATACGGACATAATGACCGCACGTTCTATTCGGGGGAAGACGGGAATTCTCACCCCCAGATGCGTTTCATTAGCGACTTCCTCCACGTCAGTCAAGCCAAGTCTCTACCGTCTTCTTCCGCCGAAAACAACGCACCCTCGTTTTCGGTGCACCGGTCTGGAAACATAGGTTATCCTCTGTGGCGGCACGACTTCTGTGTTTCTCTTGCTCTCCTGCAGTTCTCCGCTCTCTGCTTCCCTTCTTGCTAAACCTAATATTTGCCTTCTCTTGTCTGGATTTCTTAATCCCTTCTCGGCTCCTCGCTGTTTCTCGATCTCTATCTCTGTTTCCCAATTTCCTGTTTTCTGCTTCTTTTTTCCAGTTTCCATTCTTCATCTACTCTTTTCTGTTCGCATATTCTTCCCCCGTCCCCCTCTCCCTCCCCCGCCTGCTCTCCCTCCTCCCTTCATCTCGTCCTCTCTTCCTCTCTCCTGCTTCCCCTTTCCCTCCTCTCCGTCTCTCCCTTCCTCTCCTTCCCTCTCCCTCCAACTGTCTACCTCCCTCTTTCCCTGCCTCTTCCTCCCTCCTTCCCTCCCTTCATTCCTCCCTCTTTCCCTACCTCTTTCCTCCTTTGGGAAGCCCTTTCTACCTCTTTCCCTTCCTCTCCTCAGGAAGTCTTCCTCCCCCCCCCTTCCTCTCTCCCTCTCTCCTCCCTCTGCAATCCCACTCTCCCTACTCTCCCTACTCTCCCTACCTCCGTCCCTTCCTCACTCCCTTCCTCACTCCCTTCCTCACTCCCTTCTCACTCTCTCTCGCGCTCTCGCTCGCGCACTTTTTTTTCTACGCCTCAATGGACGAGTTTTCATAGGTTAAGCCATTGAGCGCATATGCGACAGGAAATATCGAATTGACCATTGAGCACGTTGTGGGGTATAAGAAGAAGAAAAGCGCCAAAGGAAATACTCCAGGTCCCAACGAAAGGAAGAACGAAAGGAAATACAGAGATGGATGATCTCTCTCTCGCCCGCTCTCTCCTCTTCCCCCTCTCCCGCTCTCACTGCTTCTCTTTGTCTGCCCGGTCGTCAGTCTTTCGCGCGCCGTTTCCAGCCCGTCGAAGGTTAGAACGAAAGGAAATACGGAGATGGATACTCTCTCTCTCTCTCTGTGTTCTCCTCCCCCCCCCCCCCTTCTGTCCTCACAGAAGGAAGACAGGTTGAGGACAGAAGGAATCCATAGTGTTTAGGACCTTCCTTCTGGACCCTCCCTTCTGCCCGGTCGTCAGTCTTTCGCTGTGTTGAAGGGCAGACCTCTCTTCCTCCTGGCGCACAAGGAATCCATAGTGTTTAGGGCTTGGTGTTCAGTCGTTTTTTTTGGCGCACTTCTAGGGGGGTGCGCCGTTTCGAAGTACTTTTTCAGCTCAGTGCCATGGCTGTCATTTTCGTGTTTTTTTTTTTCTTTTCTTGAAACCCTTCATTATGTGGAAGAGAACTCCTTTCCCTTTTCTAACAGACTCGTCTTCATGTGGAAAGCAAATCGCGTATGGTTCTCACTTCTACATGAAGTATCCTCGAGACTTCTAGTTGCCCCATTACCGGCCTTTTCAGCCGAATGAAACCCTCTGGTTATCTGAAGTGCTTTCCCCAGTACATGGACATTGACCGGGCGTGTTCCGTTTTCCCGACTATGTTTTCGGGTTAAGGAGGGTAGCCTGGATTCTGCTGTTACGACACGACAGTGGGTATTTTCGTTATTAGCTATTAGGTCTTGATATCGTCGTCTTCAGCCGAACAGCACCTGGTTATTTTATCTGTACCTAGACTGCAATTTGCTCCAAGTACAGTTATGTTGACCGGGCGTTCTTCTTTTCCGACTGTAGTATATTTTCGGGGTGAAGAGGGAGCAGCCTGGATTCTGGTTTTACGACACGACAGTTTTTTTTTTTTTTTTTAAATGGACGACGGCCTCGGATGTCGTCATTGAACTGACCAGCGCCAGGTGATTCAGAATTATTTTATTCTGGTCATCTGATCGTATCTGGATTCGAATTAGGGTCTGTTCATGGGTGTATCAACTGGGTTGGGCCCGTTGGTGACTTTGCGTATTGACGACTACGACGAATCCGACCGCGATATCAAGCGATGGCTGGGATGACGACGCCGATGGTCACGATGACGATGATGGATGACAACGATGATGTCGGTGATGACGATGACGGCGATTGTAGCGATGATGACGATGTTGTCGATGCTGGAGGCGATGATGACGACGATCGACGATGATGACGATGATGATGACTATGGCGATGGGTGGGATGACGATTATGGTGAGAGCTGTGATGGCGATGATGGAAAGAGAGCTGTGATCACGATGATGGCAAGGGCTGTGATGACGATGATGACGATGATGTCGATGATAATGACGATGGTGACGATGATGATGATGATGATGATGATGATGATAATGACGATGATGATGACCATGGCGATGGGTGTGATGACGATGATGTCGATGATGATGACGATGATAATGATGATGATGGGTGATGGCGAGGGCTGTGGTGACGATGATGGCGATGAGGATGGAGAACAGGACGATGGTCTTGATGAGGACGCTGGCGGTGATGGTGGCAAGCGTATTGACGAGGATCTCGATGATACGGATGGGAATTGCGACGACGATGGTGTTGGTGACGATTACGAGGTGACGAGTGCGATTACGGTGACGACGGGCATCGGTGATGATGCGATAGAAAAAAGAGTGCTGTTTGCTTGCGTAGTAATTATAACTACGATGAGGACATTCAAATAGGAGGGGGATGTTCTACGATGGGCATCGGAAGTGCAGTGATGACGGCGATGGTGAAGATGCTCATCACGGTCACGATGCGACGAAGAATGCTGCTGCGTGTGGTTTCCTTGCGATGTAATTAACGTGAAGTGATGATGATTACGACGAGCGTGTTCTCGATTCCGAGGATGCTGTCAGACGACGAGGAGGATTTTAGGTCACGAGGATGCTGTCAGATCACGGGGAGGATAAATGACTGTGTTTTGCAAAATAGCGGGAGAGCTTCTGGACCGTGACGATGAGGTCGGCGGCGTCGGGGATGGGATAATAAAATGGTGACGTGCATGGGAAATTTTGATGACCTAGGCTACCAGCCGGGCCGGCCGGGTCCCGGGTGGCCAGCCCGTGCAAGGACAAAGGAAGGTCCCAGCAAAAAAAAAAATCAAAAAAATCCGAAAAAAAAACTATGTTATGCAGAAAACTAAACTGAACAACTTTTGCCTTAGGGTCACATCTCAATTCCTTACCAAATTAAAAATATAAAATAAAACTCCAAAATAACTGATTTATTATTGTTTTTTTTTTTGCCCGGCCGGGCAAGTGACCCCGGGCCACTCTGGTAGCCTAGACATTGATGACGTGCATGGGAAAATAAAATGATGTTAATTACGCGGAGGATGTTCGATTACGAGGAGGGTGTTCACCGATCACGAGCAGGATGAATGACGCTGTTTTGCGAAATAGCGGGGCAGCTTGTGACCGTGGGGCGCCCTGGATGAGAAAATAAGATGACGGTGATGATGAAGTGGATTGTGACGATTACGATGATCGCTGTGACGATGATTGGTGATGGGGATCGCTGTCGGGATTGTCCCGCTGGTAATGGAGTCGTGGAGTTGGTGATCGTAGGTGCTTTGCTAACCGTAGAGGCGATGGAAGTCGTGATTATCTACCCTCGTGGAGGTAATGGTGGCAATTGTGGCTGCATTGCCAACCCTCGACGTAGTGGTTCGTGTTGGTTGTGTGTGTTAGGTCGAGACGGCGACGAATATACTGCCGCGCGTAATGGGCAGTCCGTTTTTCTCGTGGTAGGACGTACGGGTCACATTCTAGCTGCTGCTGCATTTGTCCGAAGTTTCAGTCTAGATACAGCCGTGCATTTGACTGGACGTTTCATTCGGGGGAAGGGAAGACGGGTAGAATCTGACTACTGCGGTTTGATTTCGCCGGATCGAGCGTTTGTGTCGATTGAGCGACCTTTGCGGAGGGCGCCCGACGAAGCTTGGAACCATCTTTGTTGTGGTGGTTGCGTTTCCGACGGCGGCAACCATAATGACGGGACGATCTATTTGGGGGAAGGGGAGGCGGGTAGAATATKACGATTGCGGTTTGATTTCGGTCGACGAAGGKTGGAACATCTTTGTCGTGGTGGTAATGGAGGGATTTCAAACGGCAGCCATAATGACGGGACGATCTATTTGGGGGAAGGGGAGGCGGGTAGAATCTTTCGATTGCGGTTTGATTTCGCCGGATCGAGCGTTTGTGTCGATTTCGGGCGCCTGACGCGAAGGTTCGTTCGAACCATTCTTCCCCTGGTGGTCGCATTGCAAGAGGCGCCCTGAGGAAGTCGAGGCTAGAACCCGATCCTCCTCTTGATGGTTGCATTACAGGCATCGTTTGGGCAGAGGAAGGTTCGGACCAAGTGGAACTCTCTTGACTGAATTCGAACGCGAACGAGGGCAGATGCATTTTTGCCATGGCAATCATCATATTTGAGTCAAAAGTCAGCGGTCGCATTCCGGACGGCGCCCTGAGGAAGTCAAGGCTAGAACCCGATCCTCCTCGTGATGGTTGCATTTCAGGCACCGTTTGGTCAGAGCAAGGTTCGGACCAAGTGAATTCTCTTGACTGAATTCGAACGTGAACGGGGCCAGATGCATTTGTCATGACAATCCTCATATTGAGTCAAAAGTCAGCGTCGCCTGGAGTCTCTCTTCTTTCCTTTTTAGAAAAAGGGCACTGGGCTAAGTGAAGTACTGAGGTCAGGTCGTTTGGGGAGAGAGGAAGGTTCGAACCAAGCGAATTCTTTAGTGTGAATTCGAATGCGAATGAGGGCAGATGCATTTTTGCCATGGCAGTCCTCGTTTGTGTCAAAAGTCAGCGGCGGCGGGAGTTTCTCTTCCTTCCTTTTTTAGAAAAAGGGTGGTGGGAAATGCTGGCGTGTATTCCGAAAACCAGATGATGCTTGATTCTGCAAAATCTTTCTTTGTGGTTTATAGAGCATGTGTATATAGTCACATAAGGCCTGTTTTAGATGCATCTGACCGTATGATTGGCCGGATTCTGCTGTAGAAAATGTGCCACCAGTGTGAATACGCCTCCGAACTGTTGCCATGGTGCCGGGGTGCGGATACGGTGAAACTAATAACGATCCGCTGGGGGGCGGAAACGGTGAACCTTATGATCCCGCCTTACGGCTCTTCGCATGACTTGACGTCCAAGTGACCACTTCATACCTACCGCCGTCTCTCCAATCTGCACGGTTGTTACGGCTGTATCTTGACCGGAAATTGTCCCATCTATTCGGGGGAAGCCTGTACTCCATTGTCTTGTTGACCTTTCAGCTCCTCAGAGATGAGGACTGAAGCAGAGAAATTTGAGTCGCACGCGGTGAAGAGGCGTACCGTCCTCTCCGGAAAACAACCCACCCTTATTATTTTGACTGTACAGGCCCGTTAGAATAGTTCGTATGCATCGATTTGTAGGGTGCGTTATGCCCGGGTGAAGAAAATAATCGACTCGTTTGAATATGCATGCTCGTTATGCTTGGGTCTCTATCCGGCGATCGTGTGTTTGTCGCGGGAATGAAAGGTGTTCCAGAGGGAGTGGTGTAGAGCGGCATCAAGCAGGAGTGAGTGAAGAGCTGGAACAAGGCAAAGAACGGAAGCGGGAATTGGGGAAATGAAACAGATGGCGGCGAATATTGAGGTGGCCTGTGATGAATGGTAGAATTGACTTTAAAAGCAAAAAGTGTTTCAAAACTTTTTTTTCCCGAAGGTGATTCGGTTACTATCAGTGAACCACAAGTGATGAGGACGGGAACGACGTGTTCTTCACCCGTGAACAGTTGAAATTGGAATACAGACCTGAGCTCGAATTCCAATGCAATCAGATGTTTGAAAATGCCATGGGAGATTGTGAATTGTTGAAATACAGACCTGAGTTGGAATTCCAATGGAATCAGATGTGTGAAAACGCAATTTTTTTGGAAGATCATGGAGAATCGAGATTTACCTCATGCATGAAACCGCAAGAAGGGAAAAAAGAGCAAAATGACTAGAAGGGTACGCCGATTGTGTTGAGGCAAGCTTCTGTGAAGCCACTGTCTTGCACCCGAGAATATACAAATAGCCATGTTGCGAATGGCTCTGTGGGTTTGTTTGGGCCTGTAAGCAAGAACTAGAGGGGTTTAAGAGGGAAATGAGTGCAGGTTGAGGGAAATGAAAGTGCTTGGACGAAGGGATCGTGTGCTATACGGAAGCTGTGTGGGGTTGCTCTGTGGGTTTGTTTGGGCCTGTAAGCAAGAACTAGAGGGGCTTAAGAGGGAAATGAGTGCAGGTTGAGGAAAATGAAAGTGCTTGGAGGAAGGGATCGTGTGCTATACGGAAGCTGTGTGGGGTTGCTCGGAGGGCAGAAAGTAATAAGTGGAGGGGGTAACGAGGAAGAGGAGTAGTGGTCGAGGAAAAATGAACAATGCCCACAAAAAATAGACTGGTCAATGCTTACAAAAAGAGGCTGGATGCTACGGTCTCGAACTGATTAGAACAAACTGGGTATTGTGTCAAATAGAGCTATAATGACCAGGCATTCTATTTCGGGTGAAGACGGTAGCGTCTTTATCGTTTATGCATAGTATGGGGGGAAGAGAGGAGAAGATACCTTTTGTCGTTAAGTTTGCACATAATATTGGGGGGAAGAGGAGAATGCCTTTTGTCGTTGAGTTTTTTGGTTTTAGTAGTAGGTTGTTTTCTAGATAAATTTAGGTGTGTATACTTATACGCATGATTCTATGTATGTATGTATGTATGCATGTGTGTATGCACCAGCAGAACCATTCCGCCACATCGAAGCTATGTATGTATGCATGTATGTGTGTATGCACCATCAGAACCATTCCGCCGCATCAAAGTCATTACTACTTGCTGAGTAAGAGAATCATGTCGTTGTGGAGTTTCAGGTTTGAGTAGTTCGCCTCTCTGGCTAATTTCGTGTGTGCATGCCGTGGTTGTGGTTGGTGTCGGTGTCGTGCGTATGAACATGTGCAGGTGTTTGGCCGGGAGGGCCTCCAATACCAGTTCAGCAGGGCAGACCAGGGCAGCCATTCCAGGCTTATCAGTACCCGGGTCCAGGCCAGCCGACACAGGAACAACAACAACAGCAACAACAGCAAGGGTTCAGTGCACAGCAGGGAGGGTTTCCGACGCAAGGGCCACCTAAGCCTGTTCCCAGTGGAGGTGCAGGTTTCCCTCTTCAGAGGGGAGGGCCTCAATATGGACCCCCCCCTTCAGGGCTGCCCGGAGGTGCAAGTACACAATCCTCGCCCCCAATGGGCAGCATGTCACAGTCTATTCCGTCTGCTGCAATGAATGCTGCTGCTCCCAACACTGCCCCTCCTATGTACAGATCACCTGTCCCAGGCCCGGGACCAGGTTCAGCGCTCGCCAATCGGCCTGTAGCAGCCTCAGCACCACCATCTTCACATTCCGGGACTTATCCAATGGCTCCTATGCATCAACAGCAGTTTGCATCACCTCTGACGGGAGGTCCACTGTCTGTGCCAGGAGGCCCACCGTCTTTGCCAGGTGGTGCAATGGGTAGTGGCATTGGTCCTTCTCCAGGGCGCCCAGGTGCCCCTGGATCGTATCAGCAGCTATCCCATCCCAGCATTCTGCGCCCGTCCTCACAACCAGCTCCTGCTATGGGTCCGCCTCCTCCAGGCCCGCCTCATACAGGACCACCTCACGCAGGCCCCCCTCTTTCCGGCCCTCCTTTATCAGGCCCCCCAGGCCCTCCTCCCATCGGTCCTGCTTCAGGCCCTCCCCCTACAGCTGTTTCCACTGCTGCTGCTGGCCCCCCACGTCCGCAGGTGTCCCCTTTTACGCCCTCACCAGCGCCCCCTCCCGTTGTAGCGCGTGGGGGACCTCAGCCTGCAGGACCTCCCCCAATCACAGGTCCGACAGGTTCACCTGCACGGTATCCTGGGGTTCCTCAGCAGCCCCCATCCTTTCCATCTGCGCCCGGCGGTCCACCCTCAACTGGAGGCAGTTCTCCGCCGTTAGGGGCCTCTTCTTTCGACCAGCGGGGGTATCTTCAAGCTGGACCCTATGGGCCCTCATTGGTCCAGACACCACCTGCAACTGTTTCTAGGGCGTTGGCACAGCCACCTCTCCAGTACAACGACCCTTACTCTACTGGTGCACCTTCTGCGGGGCCATATGGTCAGCCAACTCCTGCTGCTCCTTCATCAGGGCCATTTGGTCAGCCAACTCCCGCTGCACCTTCGGCGGGGCCATATGGTCAGCCACCCCCTGCTGCACCTTCGACGGGGCCATATGGTCAGCCAACCCCTGCTGCACCCTCGGCAGGGCCATATGGTCAGCCAGCCCCTGCTGCACCTTCTGGGCCATATGGTCAGCCGACCTCCACAGGAACTGGTGTCGGTGGTTACTACCAAGGAGCTGGGCAGTATGGCTACGGACCAATGCAGAGGCAAGCGTTGATTGAAGAATTCCAATCCCTCAGCATTACACCTCCACCGGGTTCTTTGGATGCTGGAGTAGATCCAAGTCTGCTTCCAAGACCGCTGGATGATGAAGAGTCGTTACCACAGCCAGTCTCGTCAGCCAACTGTCGCCCGAAATTCATGCGGTTGACGTGCAATGCGATTCCGAACTCGCAGTCCCTGCGGGCGAGATGGCACCTCCCGCTCGGTGCTTTCATCCATCCACTTGCCAAGCCTCCTCCTGGGGTGAGTAAATCGTGTCCCTATTCTCTTTCCGGGGTCTTGCAACGTGGGGCTGCAACGCCGGCCTGTTTGGTGGTTGTGTGTGGAGAGTTGAGCATTCACAGGGGCTATGGTGAGCAGATTTAGATCGCCCTCTATTAACGTCTGTACGATTGTGATAATTGGTGGGCGTGTTTTGGCGGCCTGTTTGGTGGTGGTGGTGGGGAGAGTGAGCTTTGACGGTTGCTATGGTGAACAGATTTGCTTTGCCATCTAGTAACATCTGTACGTCTGTTGCATAATCAATAAATAGGCCCTCTATAGTAGCAGTTGGCCGCCAATAGCAAGCAGATGTATGACATGCCTTGGCTGAAGTTGGATTCCCCCGGAGGTGGTTGACGGGGTCTGAAATGGGGGTACATCTGTTTGTTTGCAGTTGTGATTTGTCTCTTGCTCGTGTCCTCTCTATACGACAGTGGTCTTGTGCCCTCTCTATACGACAGTGGTCGTCCAAAGTGTTGTTTTCCTGCTCGCTGCTATCATCGAACACATGTTGTCGGTCGTCCTATTGGTTGTCCTTCTACATGCATTTGAGCAACTGTGTGTGTACTTCCGGATGTTGTGGCGTCGTTTGCAAGCCTGTGATTGTGAGTATATGTGATGGGCTGTCAGTATATGTGATGCGTCGTCTTGGTGATTACAAGGAAGAGGATGCAATGGTGAGGCTTACCCCGATACAAGGGTTGTATGGTTTAAACCCTCACCAATTTCAAGGAAATTATGGTTGAATGATGAGGTTCGAGGTACAGTTGGTTTCTGGGCTTTTGCCTTGAATGGTGTTGTGGTAGGCACGAGGGGTTGGGCTGCTGCACTACTCACTAAATACGTACAGCGGCTTGTGTTTACTTGGCAAGAAGGAGGTAATGCACACATCATTTTTTGTCTCTCTTGCACTTGGGGAGTGGTAGCGAGACCCATGGTTTAATGAAGAGGCATGAAGATGGAAAAACACGGTTGCCATGTTTTTGTCTTTACACGCGTCGAGTGATGCCATTTTTTTCTGTCTTTACACACTTGTGGAGTGACGAAGCGAGACCCATGGCTTTAAGGAATGCATTGCTTACAGTCGATACATGGTGGATGTTCACTTATTTCAATGTGGAAATGCTGGAATGCAGGTGTTGTCTGTGGTAAATGATGTTAGGGAAGTTATTGAATGCACTCCGTTGTTACTCCTGAACCTGGAAGTCTACGGTTGCCTGATCTCTTGTACCTAGTCGTTCTTCTGTCGTATTACGGTGTCTCATCCAGCGAACTGCAACTGCAAGGCATCATGTCAACAAAGAAGTGCCTTTCGGTTGAGAGTAAGTTTCAGATGATGATAGTCTTGTTTGTGGGAGCACAGCTGAGCTTGGTCTAGTTTGGTGGGAGGTTCACGCTGTGCTTGTGTGGTGGAAGGGCGGTTGATTGAGACTGCTGACCTGTCTTGTGGGAATGCTAATATGTGTGGCGCGTCTTGGGTGGATCATTATGATTTTGGGCTTCTTTTGATGTAGGAGGAGGTTGCTATGGTATTTCTATGTCCCATTCAGCAAACCGCAAGGTACCACCTCAACTCTAGGTTGTGGAAGTACCTTTCTGCCGATGTCTAGTTTGGTTATCTGGTTGGGGATTTACATCATATGCCTGTTGGAGGGAGGGAGGGAGGGAGAGAGGTTGTGTGACTCATGGGGATGCTGATTTGTATTGTGGTCTTTCTTTTTTTTTTTTTTGTGGCTCGCTCTGCTTGTGTACTGTTGATGTAGGAGGAGGTTCCCATCGTGAACTTTGGATCGGTGATCGTGAGGTGCAGGTCCTGTAGGACATACATAAATCCTTTTGTGAATTTCACCGATGGTGGCCGCAGGTGGAGGTGTAATATTTGCGGCCTGTTGAATGAAGGTGTCGCTCTTGAGAGCTTTATATTCCCCGTGCGTCTCCTTTCCTTGGTCTTGTTTGCCTCCGCAACCCATCTTTTTGGTTTTAAACTCTCCTCCCCGCCTCTTTCACCACCTTCCACTCGTTTCTCATTTGCTTGATGGGCACACAAACTTATATACCACTACCAAACTTACATGCTCCAGATTGTTAAAGTTTTGTTGCGATCCGAATGGCTATCCAGACTTCTGTTTTCCAGTATCCGAGTGCTGTGTGGCTGCAGGCTTTTCTAAGAGTCCACAATGAAGAAATTTGGGAAACTTAAGGGAGGGAGCATGTGCAGACCCCTTGGGGTGGGATCTGGGATGAACCGTCAAAATGATGTTCATGGACATGTATGGTGCCGGGCAGAGTCATTCAAACCCCAATTCAACAAGAACTTCATGTTGATTTCGTCCAGAGCTACTAAGTTGCTGTTTGATATTTGCATTCCTTGATACCTTATTTCTCTACATATGACAATGCTAATGGCCACAGCTGCTGTTGCTTACGGGTTCTGCTGCCTCATTATGCTGTAATTCAGCTGTACAGCTGTTGAACAGCTGCTGCTTTGCCACTGAATGGCGGCTACTGTCCATCTGGCATTTTCTTTGCCCTCTGAAGGAAAGCAGTGCTGCTACTGCACTTCTACCAAATGTCTTTTGCTACTGCTGCTAAGGTAGGGTATGGGGAAGGGGGAGAGTTTGTGGAGGTGCTAGATCTGGTGTAGAAACGAGGAAAAATCGAACCTCTGTACATTATCTGCTTTGTTGCATCAGGCAGCACTTGTTGCATGTTAATATCCTCGTACGGAAGGGATCACGCATACGATTCACTCTGTCGTGTCTTGTCTTAAGTGCATCTTGTTTTTCCCAAATGACTCTCTATTAAGTGGTGCAAATTGTGTGCAGCGTCGCATAGAAAATAGAACTCACCGACACCTCTGGCCGAGGGACGAGGCATGCAATTCGCTACGTCGTGTCATGTTGTAATTTGCACCCTGTTTTTCCCAAATCACTTTTTAGTATGTGCTGCAAATTGTGTGCAGCGTCGCTTAGAAATAGAACTCATGGATACCTCCCCCTATTATGGGCGAGGGATCCTGATTAATTGCTAGTGTTTTTCCCAAATCACTTTTAGTATGTGCTGCAAATTGTGTGCAGCATCGTGTAGAAATAGAACTCACAGACACCTCCCCCCATTATGGGTGAGGGATCCTGATTAATTGCTTTTAAGGTAGGAAGGGTTGACCCCTGCTATGACCCTGTTCTGCTATATCATGCTGCCTTCTTCTGAACCCTATGGACCGAACCACCTTCCTATGTAGCTCCTGTCATAGCTGACTGAATGCGTCATTTCGTTGATACCTTTGGAGCTACTATTGAAGGCGAATTTGTGGTATTCATTGAATTGTAAGATTTTCCATCGTTTGAACCAGCAGTACACGGCCAGGCATCAGCCCTGGGTTTCCCTTGCTGCAACTTTCGGAGGCCGGAAAGGTTACTGTGCCCATTTTGATGAATTTATCAATGGCAGCCAGGCTCCGAAAGACACTGGTGCTAATGAGTTGCTTTCTCTGGAAGGCTGGTGATGTGCGCTTCCGGTTTTAAAGGTGGATTCACGATTATGATGTATTTCTGTACCCACGTATACTGCACATTCTGCCCCTCATTTCTTGCTGCTCATTGGGGTACTCTTTAATCAGAGTAGTGTCCGCGGGTCTGGCGTATGGCCTAGAGACGCTTCGTCTAGCGAGCCTGCTGATTTAATCTGTCCACTCAAGTGGACTTTCTGCGGTATTTCTGGGTAGTGTATGTAAGAATTTCGAGTGTTCCAGCATATAGGTAGATTTTACGACTGCGGTAAAAGTTGACAGTTATAGTTACAGCTGGCGTTTACTGCCGACGTTTACTGCGGTTTCTATTCGAAGCTTATGTCACTTCTCCTTCTCACCTTTTCACTTTTCAGCACCAGGCAGGTGTCAGACTCTATACATTGTGTTACCACTTGGCAGAGTCCTGTGTTCTTAATAAACAGCTGCTACCTCCTGTTATCTGCCACTTTTGTCTGTTTTTGCAGAGAAAAGCACTCCTCCCGAAGTTACGTAGCCGTTTTGCCGAGGTTCTGAAACAGGGTTATCTCAAGCGCCTTCGTATACTCGTTAGCTGAAAGTAGACATGCCGTGCAATGAAATCCCTGACTGTGAGCCATAAGCATTTGCTGAGACAGTTTCGCCTGCTTTCCAGCTGTGTTTCTGCGTTAGCTTGCGAAATCTTTTGCGTAACCATGTTCTTTATTGCCTGCATTTCCTGACTGGTCTGTCATCTCTGCCTGACGTGTTCTAGTGTGCTTTCGCCCTTGAACACACGCGCCTTTCTCTTTAGCTGTTCAGCAAGGCCACCATGTCTGTCTTTCTCTTCAGTTTCCCGTCCCCCCGCTTATATGTTCATGTGTCCATTCTTTTTTCAATCTTTTGACTTCACTCACCCATGTTGTCCCTTCTTTGTGCTCATCAGTGCCTCTGAGCTTCACCAGTCCCTTCTTTGTGCTTGAATTCGCTCGCCGACAGACTAGTGAATTGATGTGTCGATCGGGTCCTGTGCCGTTTTCTTTGACAGTCCCTTCCATGTAGTCGGTTAGTTGAAAACATGGTTTGTACAGTTTGCCTTTGGTTTGTGTGCTCTTTGACTCGTCTTGGTGAAGTCGTTGATTGTGCTGGTCGCTGTTGCTGTATGTCTCATTTGTTCTGTGCTCAGCTTCTTCCTCAAGTTGTGGATCCTGTCTCCCGCCATTATTGTGGCAGACATATGTTCGAAAATCAGTGGTTTTGTGTAAAATGGTTTCTTAACACAAAACCACTGATTTTCGAACTCAACGCCCCCGTTGAATGAAGAGTGTGTAATATGCTATTTGGTGGTATGCTCTTCTCAGAGTCTGAGGTTTTGATATCTATTGTCAAGGGGCCATGTGGCTCCAGAAAATGATTTTAATGTCGACTGCTTGCTTGGACCTTCGTGACTGTTGTTTTTTTTCTGATCGTGCAGTTCCTCCGGAATATTTTTGCCAACTTGGGCCTGACGGTCGGAGGCGGGATGTGAATGAACGGCCTGAGCTTCTAAAAGGATGTGTCGAGTTCGTTGCGCCTCAGGAGTATATGGTCCGTGCACCGATGCCGCCGGTCTACTTTTTCCTCATTGATGTATCACAGCCAGCCGTTGCATCGGGGATGTTGCAGGTGTGTTGTTGTCATATTCACTCTTACTATGTTCTCCAAGTCTGATGCTGATGCTATATTGTACCCTAATGTCTGTCTCGTGTACTATGTAAAGCGCTCAAATGATCTAGTCAATCTTGGTATTGAGGGTTGGGGTTCCATACTGAAGAATTGGACCTTATGGTTATGTTGCACACAGTTAAACCATCAGTACTCCAAGCCGCTTTTTCCCGTGGCTTGAAAAGCCCTGCGAGCCAAATCAGAATGAACCGGTGCAGCCCTCCTTTTGCCAGGCAGCTTGCTCTGGCAGCCGGCCCCTGGAAGTTGCGGTGGCATGCAGCTTTTTGTGGGATAAAAATGGCAGGGTAATGTACTGTTGGTTTAATGATGAGACACCAGATAAGTTTGGCCAGTTGACCTTTAAAAGACCCAGGTCAGACGTCCATTATGGCTCAACCCTCCCTGAAGAAGCTGGCTGTAGACGAGCAGGGCTTTGTGTACCAGCCTGGCAGTAAGTGGTTTCATTTGTTCGTGAGCGGACTGCTGTTTTGCTTGTGTAAATGTTGTACTATTATGAACATGCGACGGGGTATCTGTGATGGGCCTTGTACCTGCTTCTTTGCCGGTCAGGCTTGCACGATCTGTGCAAGTGTTGTACTGTATGCACAACTGCATTAAGCCGAAGGCGCTAGATGCCAGTTGAAATGGAAAAACTTGCGGAAGGAGCTAGATTCAGAGATTGTTTTTTTGAATCTGACACCTTCGTCCGTTGATTGGAGAACCCAATTCCACGTTACGACAGCCAGTGTGACAGTGTGATGTTCGTCCACAAGGGGAATGACAATATTCACCTGGGGAAAGCACAGGTGCTTGTCCTCCGATGCTCCTCTCTGCCCTCCCTGTGCCCCCAATTTTGGGGCTTGATCTTTTTCCCAGCCGTATTATTGCTTGGCGTTAAACATCCACTCCAACTGCCTCTGTACTGGAGCTTGTATTTATCGACAAGTACCACGGCTAAACCTGAAGTAAATAGGCTTGGGGGACGCTTGGTGGGAAGGGGCAGACTCGTCTACCTGGTTCATATAATGGGTGGGCAGCACGCCTGTTTTGTTTTGCCTGGAAGTTTTCTGTGCCATCTGTTTTCTCTTGGGAAGGATGCTTCCGCGGGAAAGGGCACCCTGCCTCGCTAGGAAGGACACCAAGAGGAGAAAAACCAGTAAAAGAAAGCAAAAAGAACCCAAATATCGGTGAATGACGGGGCCTCCATGCACTGCACAACTCCACATTATTTTTGATGGCTTCTGGACCAGCTGCATTTGGAGGGGTCCAACCTTTCGAATGTGTTGGTTTTGGACATCATTGTGTTGTGTAGTGGAGAAGTGCCCAGAATCTTGGGAACACTTTCTTTTGGACAACCACTCTATTTGTAATCCTTGCGGAGGGGCCAGTACCTAAAAGACTGAATAAAAAAGTATCTTCTCTGTATCGTTTGGCAACTTTGTGGCGGTGGTGAAGACCAACAGCATGTCGGCGGAAAACACTCCATCTGTGGAGCTATGGAATCTCTTCTTACGCTTTTTCTTTTTTCTGTCCCTTTTGTAGTGAATGTCTTCTTACACTTTTTCTCTTTTTCTGTCCCTTTTGTAGTTGGTTGAATGTCTTCTTACACTCTTTTTCTGTCCCTTTTGTAGTTGGTGAGTGGTGCCTTGCTCCGCTACACTGCACACTTTGTGCATTTTTATGCATTGGACACCCGATACATTCGTAGTGTTGGACTTGTCCGATGCACCTGGTCCACACCACGCCCAAATGGCTGCAGATTGTTGTGGAGGGCGCCAAGCTTTTCTGGCAGGGCGGAAGAAAAAAGGAAGAAGGAAACCGCATGCCTTTTCGTTTTGTTTCTCCCAAGGAGATTGCACCTGTGTCGGGCCCTCAAACTTTGGCCAGATACAGGGGCTGGCTTGGTGGGAAGTTTGGCTGGGGTTGCACTTGACTGAAAACAACGGCCTTCTTTATGTTCCATTTGCTTGCTGTGAGCCCAGCACTTCACTCTTGGGGCATGCGGGTTCCAAGATGCTGAATCGTAGATTTCTCGCTCTGCAAGATGCATGTTCTCGTTCGTCGATTCAGATGGTGTGGTGTTTTAATTCGTCGTAATCATCTAAACTCTATACAGCCTTGAAACACGACTTTTGAGGTCCATACAATGAAATGGGCACCAGTGTGTGGTGTCTCACTTTGAGACAAGATGCCGTCTGTATTTCCCGTTTTGCAAACTTGGCGGATACAATGAAATGGGCACCAGTGTTTGGTAGCTCACTTTGAGACGAGATGGCCGCAGTGTATTTCCCGTTTTGCAACGTTGGTGGATGCCTGAGTAAAATTCTGGTCGGTTGTGTCAAGGAATTGGAAATAGCGGATGTGACGAAGCGCTGTTGAATAGGGGGAAATTGGGGGAGGGATTGAAGAAGAAAGCTCTGTGCCTTGTGTGCCTAAGGTTGTGAACAGTTGGTTACTCCCCCTCCGGCTTGGTGCTCAGTGTAAATCATGGTGTTGTTGTTGTAGCACTAGAATGTGTGATGACATGGGTCGTTAGGGCGAAACTGAAGGGGAAAAGTATTCACACTTTTTTGCCTGCGCCCAATGTGGGGCAAATGAATTCAATTCCGATGTTCAGTTTTGTTTTGTTTGATGTGATTTGTTGTGCAGGTCGCTGTGGATACAATCAAGGCATCCCTAGATAATCTTCCTGGTGACATAAGGGTTCAGATAGGCTTCCTGACGTTTGACAGCACACTGCACTTCATTAACCTGAAGGTCAGTTTTGATGAGAATGCCCGCATCTTTCTTTGCTCTGTTGGGGTCTCATTTCCCTCCAAAATAACAGAGTATATGAAGGTGCTCGTATTGGGCCTAGAAGTATGTGGGTACTATCAGGGATGTTGACCCTTGCCCAGGACCTGAACACTGCTCATGGGCGGCCAAGGCTGCACCTTGGCTGGCTGATACCGTTTGGGGCCTAAGGCTGTTGAGATTCCATTTTGTTTCTTGCTGTTGCGTTTGCTATTTTGTCTGTTTAGGCATCACTTTGTATGTATTTTTACTTTTGCTGTGCCAACTTTGTTGTCTCTTGGATGCTGACTTTTTAAAGTGTTTCCCGTATTCGGACATGTTAAGCTCGTGTTCTGGTTTGTCTGTCTATGGGACTTCCTGTCACGTGTGTCGGCTTGGTCGTAGGGCCGTGGACCTGTTTTGTACTGTGTGCCCGTTTGGTGCATCTTTTGGTACGCAGGGCTGTTGATCCCCCTCCTGGAGGCTTTGGACCTGTGGTCGAGATCATTTGGTGAGTCAGGTGTGTGGTCTGGACTAGCGCCCAGACACAGATGAAGGGACAGACTGACTCACAGATTAAGAGTAGATCTGTACTTTGCAGAGTGAGGATTGGTTGGGAGCTATGTCCGTGAGGCTCGGTTTAGAAGGGATAGAGTTTCAGTAGGCACTTGGATAGGTTATAATGCTCTGAGAGGAGAGAGCAGTGGATTGGGTAACGCCGCATAGCAGCTCTCGAGGGTGTGGTGATGGGAGGACTGCAGATCAGGAGAACGACTTACATGGTGGTGCCCTAGATTGTGCTCCTGACGGGAGGTCACCTAGTTTGTGCTCTCTGAGGTGGAACCATTCACTGACTAGTACTCTCATTTACACACGCCGGCTCCTGACGGGAGGTCACGTACTGGCTAGTACACTCTCATTTACACACGCCTGTGGGTGGCCACAAGTTCTTCGGGGTGGGAATGTGTTTGGAGTTAGGTTATAATGCTCTGAGAGGCGAGAGCAGTGGATTGGATAACGACACATGGCAGCTCTCGAGCGTGTGGTGATGGAAGGCCTGCGGAGCAGTAGAACGACTTACATGGTGGTGCCCTAGATTGTGCTCCTGACGGGAGGTCAGATAGTTTGTGCTCTCTGAGGTGGAACCATTCACTGGCTAGTACTCTCATTTACACACGCCTGTGGGTGGCCACAAGTTCTTCGGGGTGGGAATGTGTTTGGAGTTCTGGGCACGGTATCTTTCCAAGGAGGCTCAGAGTGTTTGGTGTGGGTGGCATTCACACTGGCTGCTTTTTTGGAGCACATGGAAGAAATGGGGAAGAAGGTTCTAGGGTGTCTTTTTTAAGCAATAGCGCTGCAGGTGTTGCGTGGGGATCTTCTAGAATTTGGTTTTGGATTATGGCACTCCATACACTCCAGGGGCGAGACAGCGAATGGAAGGGTGATTGTCTAGCCATGGTGTGATGGAGACGATGTTGATGCGAGTGGGTGGTTTGGGATGAATAGCAGTGTGTGAGGATATGAGACCTTGGCATGCACAATTGTGACCCCTACGACAGGCCTTGTGTCCGCCTCAGTGAAGGTGGGCTGCTGCATCCCAAAGAGGGCTGAGTATTGCAATTTTGCAGGCCCTTGTGGGCACCAGATAATTACCACGTGGCGGTTGGTTACATGTGGCCTGCTCACTAGCATCGAAAGCTTCCATGGGCCTTCCAGCCTCTTCTTACTTCAGAGCGAATGGGGTGGTTAGTTGGCCGCATCTAACTGGTGCGTGCCCTTGCCCAGGCCACTGTCTGAAGGGGGCTGGGCGTAGACACTTTGGCCCAATGAGAAGCTACTGGGCACACTCGGGTCCCAGTCCAGGCAGCTATCGTGCCTGGCCAAGTTCCATTTAGGAAAGCCAGGCCAGGGAAGGGGCATTCGGGAACTTGCTGGCTGGGCGGCAGCGCTGCTGGAATGTGCGCTCACAGGCCGCTGGCGCAAGTTTTTGGTGAGCGAGCACGGTTGCGTTGTAGTGGGCGCTGCGGAAGGCAGCGCCAGTCTTCAGCCAGAGGGGTAGGGTGCTGGTCTTCCGTTGGAGGAGTGTGGGGCTGCAGACAAGGGTGGGCTAGACGAGGGCAAGACAGAGGACAGGGAGGGGACATACCTGGTGGTTGCGGTGGTTTTGTGGGCGACATCTGCATGTGATTCAGGGTCTGCTGCTGTAGTTTTCCAGTTGCGCCGTCGATAGTAAAGGCCTATACCGGAGTTGTGCGGTAGTGGCCAATATTGGAGTTGTCTGATCGTAGTCTGGGCACTCAGCGCCAGTAGAACAAACCGAACAACCCCTCTGATCAATACCTCTTGAAATACAGACCCGGGCTTGGACTCCACTGGGATGCAGATGAGTGTGATAGTACAATTCTGAATTGCCTGGGGCCGGTCAGTTCGATGATAACATCTCAAGGTGGTCGCCCTTACTCTAAAAAAAGGGAAAAAATGGACAAGGATAAGAAATAAGGAACTTTCTAATTCTTTGTCTAGCCAGGATCTCAAGGAGTGGACACAAAATAACATACAGAATTCTGATTGTATTCCCTCTCATTTTGGAGAAAACTGTATAACCATGAAAGATACCCTCACTTTTGGCCTTCCCTGAAGAGTGTTTGGTGTGTTTGGAAGTATGGAGTGATGGTAATGATGAATGGTGGCATTCTTTGAATGCAGGCGTCACTCTCGCAGCCACAGATGCTTGTGGTGGCTGATTTGGAGGATCCGTTTCTTCCTATTCCGGATGACTTGCTTGTTAATCTCAGTGAGTCTCGCAATGTTGTGGAGGCGCTGCTCAGTTCTCTCCCGTCTATGTACCAGAACACTACCAACATCGAGTCGGCCTTGGGTCCTGCGTTGCAGGTTACATATTCGGTAATGGTGAGTATGCACCCTATTTTGCTGCCGTCAGCTCTGTTCGCAATTGAAGCTGTTCTAGTTTTGGTGTACAAACGAGGGCAAACAAACAAGCAACCCTTGTCCCTCAGGGGCTGCCAGCTCTGAATCAGTGAAGAGCTCATGTATGCTTGTCCATGTGCAGTGATGATCTGAAATGTCCATGTGCAGTGAAGATGTACGCTTTATGTTGTTTTTGTTACCTGGATTCCGTTTATAATATCTTCTGAAAATCATTAAAGAAATGCATGTCTGCATGATAATTTTTTTTTTTTTTTTTTTTTT